AAGTTTCAGAGTCTCTTCTGACATCCATTTTGATCTTTTCCTTCTTTCTTGTCTTCTTAATGACTTTTTGCTCTCTTCATGTATGATGTTCTGATGTCATCCCACAACTCTTCTGGTCTTCGGTCTTTAGTGTTTAATGTATCAAATCTGTTTTTCAGATGATAATTTTAGTATTATATAAATTTCTTTGACAACTTCAGTGATGTCTCCATTAATATGGATGTTGTTTGTTGGTCTAGTGGTGAGGATTTTTGTTTTCTTTACGTTGAGATGCAACCCATACTGAAGGCTGTGCTCTTTGATCTTCATCAGTAAGTATTTTACATCATCTTTACTTTTAGTAAGCAAGTTTGTATCATTTGAATATCATAGGTTGTTAATGAGTCTTCCTCCAATCTGATGCCACATTTTTCTTCAAATAATCCAGCTTCTTGGATTATTTGCTCAGCATACAGATTGAATGAGTATGGTGAAAGAATACAACCCTGGCACACACCTTACCTAATTTTAAACCATTTGGTGTTCCCTTGTTCTGTTTGAACAACTTCTTGGTCTTTGTACAGGTTCCTAATGAGCACAATTAAATGTTCCATTATATACCCATTCTTCACAATATTGCCCACATTTTGTCATGATCCACATAACTGAAAGTTTTTGCGTAGCCAATAAAACACAGGTAAACATCTTTCTGGTATTCTCTGTTTTCAGCTAAGATTCAGCTGGCATCAGCAATGATATCCCTCATTCCACGTCCACATCTGAATCTGGCTTGAACCTCTGGAAGTTCTCTGTCAGTGTATGGTTGCAGTCATTTTTGTATAACCTTTAGTAAACCTTTACTCATGTGGAATATCAGTGATAGTGTCTGGTGATTTCCTCCATCCCTTAGGTCACCTCTCTCTGGAATGGGCAAAAATATTGATCTCTTCCAGTCAGTTGGCCAGGTAGTTATCTTCCAAATTTCATGGCGTAGATGAGTGAGTGCCTCCAGTACTGCATCAGTTTGTTGAAAGATTTCAATTTGTATTCCATCAAATTCCAGTGCCTTGTTCTTTTTCAATCCCTTCAATGTACCTTGGACTTCTTCCTTCAGGATCATTGGCTCTTGATTATATACTACCTTTTGAAATGGTTGAACATGGACTATTTCTTTTTGGTACAGTGACCAGTGACTGTATTCCTTCCATTTTCTTTTGATGCTTTCTGCACCATTCAATATTTTGCCCATAGAATCCTTCAATATTTCAAATCAAGGCTTGATTTTTCCCTCAACTTTAGAAATGCTGAACATGTTCTTCTCTTTTGGTTTTCTAACTCCAGGGCTTTGTAAATTTTGTTATAATGTGTGACTTTGGCATTGCATTCATCATCAAAAAGAACATATCAAGATCAGTCATAAGTATGATGCTGTTCATGATAGGATAATATCTACATACCTACAAGAAAGACCTGGTGGGGTGCTGTGGGTTAATGCGCCAGACTGCAGAGCCGTTTGAACAGCACGGTTGGCATGGTTCAAGCTCACCAGCTGCTCCTCAGAAACCCTATACAGGGTCGCTATGGGTCGGAACCAACTCGACAGCACTTAATAACAACAACAACAATCAGGAAGACCAGATAATACCACTGTTATTCAACCACTAAAGCCAGTGATGATGAAATTGAAGAACTCTACCAACTTCTTCAGTCCAAAATTCATTAATGTGCTATCAAGATGTATTGATAATTACTGGAGATTAGAATGTAAAGGTTGGAAACAAAGAGGAAGGATCAGTGGTTGGACAATATGACCTTGGTGATAGTAATGGTGCTTAAGATCGCATGATAGAATTTTGCAAGACCAATTACTTCTTCATTGCAAATAGCTTTTTTAAACACCATAAAAGATGACTATATACTTGGACCTCACCAGGTGGAATACACAGAAATCAAATTGACAGCATCTATGGAACGAGACAGTAGAAAAGCTCCAGATTGTCAGCAAAAACAAGACCAGGGGCAGAATGTGGAACAGACTATCAATTGCTAATATTCAAGTTCAGGCTAAAGTTGAAGAAAAGTAAAACAAGCCCATGAGAGCCAAAATAAGATCTCGAATATATGTTTTCTAAGTAGTGATAGTTTTTGCCATGTAATTCTACTACCTGACGTTCTTGAGTATTTAATCCTGTTGTTTATTGTGTCTGGTGCTTCTTACTCATGGTAGAGTATTTCTTCATGTGTTGTGGAAGCCCCACATAAGATACCACCAAAAAATCAGTTGTGATTAAAAAGAAAAGAGAAAAATAAGAAAGAAAGGAAAAGGCAAAGCTAAATGTATTAGAAACTTGCCAGGCTAGGGGTGTTCCTGACCAAACGAATTTGCCAAATGAACTCCCCAAGTAGCTTGAAATTTGGATTTTATAAGATTATTGGAGAAGCATTTATTATAGAATGGTTTTAGAGTGGGAATTAACAAGCAGGGACTGGTTAGACTTTGCAAGCCAGTCAGCATCTAATTAGTTTAATATTCACATTGCAGCTGGTTGTTGAATCAGGCTTTTTGGGGTTTGTTTTTATTTTGCTTTTTTTGTAGAACATATGGGTCTGAGCAGAGCTGTTGAAAAAGTTTGTGTGTTGCAAATTGTGATTTCTTTGATTGTTTTCTCAATAATTTTGGTTGCAAGTTCATTTTGAGAGGGGCTTTCTTTGTGGGAATTCTAAGTGACTTGAGTTGATATTGCATTCTTCTAGAGGGATTTTGTATTTGCGTCTGCCAGGTACCTCAGTGGTATCTCTGACTGAGACCTAATATGAAAGATGTATAAATTTGAACCAGAAATTACATGAGATTACAAATTCTCAGGGGAGACATCTCCACTTCTTTACCAGTGTCAGTTTCTTTTTCTTCTATGTCATCCTTTTAATAATGATGTTCAAAGACTCTGGTGTTATGAGGGTTCAACTCATTTTCTCATAGCATTTTATCACTTGTTTCTCTGTGAGCATTAAACCCAAGTTAAGAGATTATTCAGCCTGACAGTCTGATTGCCCATCCAGGATGAAAAGAGCTTTAAAACACACCATTCTGGATATCAGTTTCCCTTTTTTCCTGGCCCATTATTTTGTGGCAAGCTCAGGTTTTAAAAAAATGTTTACTCTAATTTAGTGTTTCTGTGTATTTACAGAAGGAAATGTTGTAGGTTATATGGTCTAGTATAGTGTGCTGCACAACTCCAAGAGGTACCATTCATATGTTATAGAAAATCGAATGTGAATAATGTCCATTGGAGTCAAAGCATTGCCTTTTCCAGTTCTTGGGCCATATTTTCAAAACCAAACGTTAGGATTGCCTAGAAATGTTAAAAATGTACTTATGGTGCAACAGAAGTGAGTAAGGGAATGCTCTCTACTCTACCCCCTGCCCTGCCCCACCCCACCCCAGCCCCACACCAACTTCCCAGATCAGGAACACACAGTTATTGTAATGTCAAGGAACAAATTGATAATACTTTGTCCATTTCTTTTGTAACAAAATACAAGCTTTTAAATCTCAAGAGCAGTCAGAATGTAATGTTCTTTCTCTTCATGTTTTACTGGAGAAAGTCATGGCAGATCGAATGCCAGAGAACTAGTAAACGTGAACAATACAAAAGAAAACAAATACTCAGTTTGTCTTCTTCCAAGGCTTGTAGCTACCCTATAATCAGAAAATTCTCTGAAGGAAAATGTGAATTTATCCAAAAGTACTTTTCAGAAAATGTGTTTTGGGAAAAGAGGTGATGTATGTATGCCCTACAGATAACCAGACTGCATTCAAAGGCAAGATGGATATGGCTTCTAGGCATGCCCTCTCTTTCCCAGCTCTTTACATGCCTGACAGAATACAACTGTTGTATGTAAGGGCTGGCTCATAATTCCAAAATCCTTGTGGCAATGTGTTTATTCTCCTTAGTTTATTTTATTAGGGAGGAAGAATTTGTGGATTCTATGTTATTGGGAAAATTGAGGGTCAAAAAAGAGAATGGAAGAGAGCCAATATTATTATAGAATCTGTTCTTTTTATGGGAAGTAGGGACTTGAAGAGCCAAAGGTATTCCAGTTTTAACACATAAACTTGATATAGCCATATGATTGAATATATGTGCTCTCAAAGATTTATTAGCAATTGAAAAACTTAAAAATAATTTTTTTATCTAGTGTATACCTTTTATATCTATTGTATGAGATTACATGGTTGAGACTGTCTAGAAAGAAATACAACTAATTACTAACAGAGGTCACTTTTGATGAGCAAAACTGACGATTGACTGGATTTTCCCGTTTACTATTTGAGCTTTTTTTTTTACAATATGTATCCATGGATATATCTACATATATTTTTACACGGTTTAGAAAATTCTTATTGAGAATTGTCTTCCTCCCCATAAACAGTAACTGCTAACATAAACTTCCTTGAACTCGAGGACCATCTCTCCTAAGTATTATTGCCTGAAGTCAGGAGACTTGGGCTCCACTCTTGATTACAAAAAGGATGCATCATAAACCAGTTTGATTCTCCTTTGAGTTTTGTCTTCATCTGTTTTTAGTTTATTGGTTTTGCTTTTTAGAAAAGAACACTGGGGAAACTCTCAGAGCAGACACTCAAACACCATTTTCTTCCAGGGTGGAGGAGGACAAATGGATGAATGTCCAAGTGGGAGATATAATAAAACTAGAAAATAATCACATGGTCACAGTGAGTACCTTTTTTGGTTGAGGCCTTTTCTCTTTGGGCATCAGTGGTAGATCTGTTGCCACTGCTTTGGGTGGCTTCATCTGCCTCGCTTTGTATCCTGAGGTTAGCAGACCCTGTGGTAAGAAGCGTGCCCTTTTCCTTTTCTCACCATTGCTACAGATTAAATCCAGTGGTGGGTTCCAGACAAGGAAAATAAGCCAAATGCCCACAAAATACTTAAAATGAACATTATTTCCTAAGGTGGTCGCATTGTCATCCTTTAATGTTAGAAGCCTACCTTTCTGCTGTCTTTATATCTTCTGACTTTTCTGACTACAGGCAGATATACTCTTACTCTCCAGCAGTGAGCCCTACAGTCTGACATACATAGAAACTACAGAACTTGATGGGTAAGAGTTCCCCCTGACATTCCTATAAGACAATTTAGTCAGTATAGAGGGTTCCTCACTTAGGGAGAACAAATGCTGTTCTCAGATGGAAGATGTATTATGAGCCAGGAGGGTAGAACTAATCCAGATAAGAGAATACAGGAAGCCAAATTCCTAGGACCCTCAGTTTAAGATAGCTCCTGACAGCTACACTGAGCCTATACTGGGTGCAGAATCTAGGCAACCCCATATAATACAGGTCTAAAATGGAGACCTGGTGTGGCTCTGTGGATTAATGCACTGGATTGCAAGGTCAATTTGAACCACAAGTTCAGTGGTTTAAGCTCACCAGCTCTGCTCCTCGGAAACCCTGTCTATACAGGGTCTCTATGAGTTGGAACTGATTCGATGGCATTTAACAAAAACAAAATGGAGACACTTTGTTTGTTGACTCCCTTGTATTAATCAATGCTGAGTGGTAGGAAAAAGGTTAACCAGAACTGTAAAATCTCAGAACAGAGTTCTGAAGTTCAAGGGGGTGAAGTGGGAGGTAAGATAGAATATCTTGAGGGATAGCCATGTATTCATAAAACACCATGTTCTATAAAGGATTCGAGGTAGAAATTCATTAATGAGTGAGGTTAAGGTTTTAGGAAGAATAACATCTGTCCTCAAAAAGCTTGTCCAATGGAGTTTTATCTAAATCTGCATCTTATCACTGTTACTCTTGGTGCCCACAATTTTTGAAATGTGACTTCCATTTTTGCTCCTGCCTGTGCATACCTAGATTTTTCAAGTCCCCTCATTGTCTGACAGATATTTATTGTCACAGTGAGGTGTGTGTAGGCTTTTTACTCTTTCTTGAAGACAGCAGGTGCACCTCTAGATTGTTACATATTATAGCTTAAACTTCTCTACAGCATCTGTTCAGCAAGATCTCATGGGTTAGGTAAAGTGGTGGTGGTGTATTACAGGGAACAAGTGCCAGAGAGAAAGGAGTTAAGTGGGCTAACATTCTGTGTGCAGCGTCATCCCACCTCAATATCATCTATGAGAAAGGGGGACAATGGGAGTAACTTTTAGGACTCAAACTTAATAGCCCAGGTTCTTCTGGTAATTCCTATTTTCTGAAACCCCATAAAGGAGTAGTAGTCACTGGCTCTGTGATGCTACTGTGTGTTTTCTTTACTCTAGTGAGACCAACCTGAAAGTGAAGCATGCCGTCTCAGTTACCAGTGAAATGGAAGATAACCTGGAACTACTGTCTGCCTTTGATGGTGAGCGAGGAAATAGGTTTACCCACCCAAATCTCTATCAGTAGAGAACTAGCTCAGTAAACTATGATACAGCTATATAGTGAATTCTATACAACTTATTAAAAACAAATATAAAAAATTGATATTTATTGACATGCAAAAAAGATTTACAACATATGTGAAAATATACATTATAAAAGACTATGCATATTATAATGTCAACCTGCTTTTGGAAATATATATGTATAGAAAAAAAACTTGGAAGGATGCATTCCAAAAGGTAAATGGTATCTTCTTCTATAATTTTAGTACTGAAAACATTTTTACAAAAGGCATATTTTACTTTGCTAATTATTAAAAATGCCAGTTATTTCCATTTTGAAAAAAAAAAAAACAGCACTAGACTTTCATAAGTATTTACTTTAGTATTTTTTGGATTCAGAACTCATATGATCTAGTACTTATTGGGATCAGTTGTCATGTAGGTTTTTTTCTGTCTTAGAAGACCCATATCACATACAGAATTACTTTTCTGATGCCCAGAAACTTTTGTTTGCCTTTCTACAGGGATCTAGGAGAAATGAGCAGCAGCTGAGGGGATGGGAAAAAGATGTGTGTGTATTTTGAAAGAGATTTCCTTTCCTCCTCCATTCTAATAGGAAAGGTTTAAGATTACAGAGCCAAAATTCTTCCCCTTTAATTTTTTTTTTTTTTAAATAGGGAACATAAGGTGTGAACCTCCAAATAACAAGTTGGACAAATTTACAGGAATTCTGACATATAAGGACAATAAATACCTCCTAGACCAAGATAAGTTGCTGCTTCGAGGCTGTACCATCAGGAATACGGATTGGTGCTATGGCTTGGTGATTTATACTGGTACGTTTCCCTGGAACCACAGCCAGACCCCCAGCCTGCTGGGTCCCCTTCATGACCAGGCTGTTCACATTTAGATTTCAGGAGTGGGTATGCAAATCAGATACATCTCTAGCTCTGTGTCTACCTCTCCTTCTCCTTCTACCTCTATCTTGATCTCAGAGCCATGGCTTTGAGACTTGATGGGTAGAGGTGTTTTAAATCTTATTTCTCTTGGGGGGAAATATGACTTTTTTTCCAAACAAAGAAATGGGCTGCCAGTATATCAATTCTTTCTTTGTGTTCTAAGACTATAACATACTCATGAATCTTTTCAACCATGTCTGGACACAAGGAAGATAAATAAATAGAGTAAGTGCACAGAATAAGTACACAGAGTATGAGCATGTGAAAGGGGAGCATGTAATGTAGGAGAGTATACATGAGAATACCTGCTTATAGATTATTCCCATAGGGAAAGGATAGGTATAATGTTCACTATGGAGAAGAATATAAAATAGCATATCAAGAGTTCATGCCAGACAGCCTTGGAACAACAGGGCTCTGGGATCCAGAGACTGGGACAGGGTTGGAATGGGGAAAAGGGGGGAATAATGTTGAGATATTTGGCTGACTTTTGAACCTTGGTTTTCCATGCATTATAATATAAAACAGTCACTGGAGGGAGAGGAAAAGGAATA